AACATGTAATTGGCGACTGTCTTGCTAACGTGGTCTTGCCTTTCATTTGTGGCTTGTTTTAGTCTCATTTTGGCGTATTGTTTGTGTTCCATGCAGAATTATCTTTCCTGTTTTCGGCTATGCCTTTGCCCAATTTATCGGCACATACTTCAGCCCTGACCCTGAAGCGATCCGCGACGGTGTACGTCGAGATTCCCCGTTCACAGCACAGAGTACACAAGACGATTTGCTTGCATATTTCTCTAGTGTATATGGAATGTATGTTGTGTCTGTAGTATGCATAGGTGCATACATATGCACAGCAGGGGAAAACACATATGTATAATATATGCCCTCTGTGACCTTTGCTGCTTCTTTTGCTTTGATACACCCTTAGGAATATATATAAGTATATGCTCATGTGTCAGATCTATATGAAAACTCTTGCAGAACTGTGGAAGTGAATTTTTGACATGTATTTTCCAGGCTTCGAAGTGGGCGCTGGTCCTGGTTGGGTTGGGTTTCGCGCAAGGTCTAGCGGATGCAATCAAAATTTTTGGCATTGACTTTTGCGGTTACAAAGTTGCGACGCGCCTGCGAGACAAGGCATTCACCCAAACTATACATCAAGACATTGCTTTCTTCGACTTGCCAGATAATAATGCAGGTGCGCAGCTGCGATCTATGCAGCTGTCTACAGTCAGCGATCCTGGAGGCAGTAATTAGTTCCTTATTGTAACCATAATTAGCCATCTTCTGCTCCTTCGTACGCTGTCTGTTGCTTGTGACAGGAAAGCTCTGCAGCATCCTAAGTGCAGATGTGCTTGATGTAAAGGTTGGCTGCACTGGCAACGTAGTGTCCGTGGTCCAGGTGCTAGCGTCACTTGTAACAGGTGCAAAATAAGACCCTATGCTATCCTACAGCCTCCGCCAAGCTTGTACAGCAAAACGCATTGCGTAAAGTTGAGTGTTCTCTGATATTTCGATAACCGTGGCCTGCCTGATGTTGACTTCGAAACACAGGTCTTATTATTGCATTCACTGGCGAGTGGAGGCTGGCCTTGGTAATCCTCGCGTTTTGCTTGCTCTTGTTTCCGGCTAACGTTATCGAAGCTAAGTTAACCAGTGCGTCAGTTTTCCTTCGTAATTTGCCGTTCCCATATGGCGCTGCAACTGCCGAGTCTGCATAACTTTACGGGTGCACTTAGGAAGTGCACGTTATTCTAGAGCTGTTGGTATGTTCTTTCGGTGTGAACTCCGCGTTGCATGCAGACCCATCGATGACTCACAAAACGCGGCGAAATGATGAAATCAAGGGAGCTCCAGTGATCATGAACCAGGCAACTTCTGGCATTCGTGTTGTTAGTGCCTTTGGGCTGGAGGAGGTACGACGTGGATTTTGTAATACTGCTGCTTTTAGATTTGATTTCAGTGTTCAAGGGTGAGTTATCTTTGCTGTACCACCTGTGTGTACATTCGGCATATTCTTGGCAGGCGTTTATCAAGTCTTACTTTGAAAGCATTGAATCGGAGCAATCGACAAAGGTCAAGGATGCAATAGTCCTTGGACTTGCTTACGGCTTCAGCCAGGTGAGAATACCTGCTTGTTAAACCAGAGTATAACCCGCATCCAGGCTGGTTAACAATGACCAGCAGCTCCCTTGTGAAGTTATTTGGCTTGCAGGCGGTAAACTATTTTGTTAACTGTCTAGCCTTGTGGTACGGTAGCAAGTTGGTGGCTACAAGTGGCGTCAAGTCCGAAGGTGGGTCTAGGGAGCCGTTACGCCCTTGAACTGGACGAACTGGGAGTTGATGAACTAACACCTGCATATCGTGGAGCTGGTTTGTGAGGTGCTTGACGCGATTCAGTGATCACGCAAACAATTTTCGCCTTGACCTTCGCGGTCTCCTCCGCTGGACAAACTGTCCTCTTCACAACGGACTCCGGGAAGGCTGCAGCTGCAGGTCGTCGCGTTTATGCGCTCATCGACAAAGTAATCTCACTCATTTATGCTTCAGATATGCACATCTGTGGGCACTGAGCATATCATGCTCCGTTTGTTTTCCTTAAGACTCAAATCACCCTTGTGCGATGGCTCTATTAAGTGCGTAGATGAGACTATCTGCGAAATTATAATGTCAGCTCGGCGTAGTGTGTTGCGGAGGCGTGCAGACGTCTGATATTGATGTACGCGATTCGGGAGGGAAGGTTCTGACCCACGAAAGCTTCACAGGAAATATTGATTTTGATCGTATCAACTTCACGTACCCTACACGGCCAGAGAACAGGGTTAGTCCTCCTGCTGAAGCGGTGCTCTTGCGACCGTTGCCAATATGCATGGGCAGCCACAGCAGTAGAGGTTTGCCTCTGGCATAGGAAGCTTCTAGATTCCTGTGGAGCATCCGAGGGACTTTCAAACGGCGAAAGCATCTGCAACAACAGCAAGCAACAAAAACATAACAACCGCAAACTGCAGGAAACCCGTATGATGACGTAGAAATGTTTGCGTTGTGCGTCCACAGGTTTACAGGAACCTTTGCTTTTCCATCAAAAAGGGTGAATCCGTTGCGTTGGTGGGAGCGTCTGGATGTGGAAAATCGACCGTTGTGCAGCTGGTGGTGAGTTGTGTGCTTTCTGTTATGCAAGTCCCCGTATTTGTGGCAGAGCTAGCGTGAGAGTATTTTATGCAGACATCATAACATCGCTTTTTTGTTCGTCGGTATGAGCGGCAAATTGCATTTAGTTGGAAAGGGTGTATACTGTTTTCTGCACTCCCTCCCTCAATAGGAACGCTTTTACGACTTGAAGAGCAGCAGCAGTGTCCAAGCGCAAACCCACCCGACCACATCGGCTCCAGACAGCGAACCAAAACGCAATCCTGCAGACAGCGAAGGGCAGATTTTGTTCGACGGAGATGACCTTCGCACGCTCAATGTTGTGTAAGCTGTTCCCTTAGAAGTGGAACATAACCTTTGGTAGCTTCTAGTGTTTATTTTTGCGCAGCTTTCCCCTTTTCCAACTTGAACTTTTATAGCTAATTTCCTGTGGTTGCACATCACACAAGAACACGCAGTTTCGGGGAAGCGCAACGTGCTGTAAACACTTTAAATTCGCTGTAAAGCACACATATCCATGCGTAAAGTGTCACCTCTTTTGTCCAACATCTGGTTTTGTTGACTCCGCCGTGCGGTCTGTGGTCTCGTCATTTGCATCAACTACGTAATCTTCGTTATACGTCCTGTTTCTTTAGGTCTGTTCGCAAACAAGAGGGGTTGGTTAGCCAAGAACCGGTCCTCTTTGACATGACAATAGAAGAGAACATCGCAACATCGAAGCCAGATGCGACTGAGGTATTTGCAGTCAACCGTAGTGAATTGTGTGCACCTGATGCCACCGAAATTTCTCGAGTCATTTGTCGTGTTCTTGCACTGGATGCTTTTCAAACTCACCCTTTCGCAGCAGGCTCGTCGCGTGCAGGCAAATAATCTGCCGCTAGCCGTATGGATTGAAGCAGTTGCCGCGAGTGCTCGCGTGTCTCGAGTAGCAAGATGTGCACTTACCAATGGTGTTGAACTTAGCTCTATCTCCCTGTGGTATCTACTGTATCAGGAGGAAATACGTGAAGCAGCGAAGCTCGCGAACGCTGCTGGGTTTATTGAGTCTTTCCCCGATGGATACCGCACCAACGTGGGGGCAGGTGGAGCGCAGTTGTCAGGCGGACAGAAACAAAGAATTGCAATTGCGAGGTAGGATGTGCAGTGTGCTTCTCATTAGCCTCAAATGACGCATGCACATCTCTTGTTGCAGTGCATGCAACGTAGGCGGCGGGGTGAGCTTGGGTTGAGAGAGGGTGCTATAAAGCACACGTGTGAAGTCATAATTCAGACGTATCTTGTTCGAGCGTGGGTGAGTGTCTGCTCTTGTTGCTGGCTTTTTTTGCAGAGCGTTAATACGGAAGCCTCGGCTGCTGATATTGGATGAGGCGACATCTGCTCTAGACGTAGAAAGCGAAAGAGTTGTTCAGCAGACGATTGATGAGTTACTCTCAGCGGAAAAACGCAGTACTATCATTATCGCCCACCGACTTTCTACTGTGCGGAATGCAGGTACGCTCATGGTAATGCTCAGCTTTCTGTCGTTGATCATATAGGTTTGTTTTCTTGCATTCGTGTATAGGGCACGTCAACAAGCTGAACCCGTACGTAGTGGTGTGCTGTGTTGGTTCCGTCCGCTGGAACTCAGACAAAATTGTGGTTCTGACAAATGAAGACAAGAAAGGAAGCCGCGTAGCAGAGATGGGAACGCACGACGAGTTGATGCAAAAGAGAGGTGGCCTCTATAGAACGCTTGTTGGGCTGGCCTCAATGCAGTCGAAGTAATGACATTTACCAGCAATTCTGGCCGCTCTGATGTCGGTGAAACAAGAGAGAACTTGTGTTGAATGGTAGATCTCCGTCCCGTACAAGCAAATGACAGGAAAAAAAGCATCCCCCAGCGGAAGCCTTCCTGTAGATTGATTTTTGAATTTATTTTGTTTTCTTTTCTACACCAAAGGGCTCCAAAGGTATTTACTTCGTCAGTGCAATGGGGAGGCGTTACATGTCTTCACATCACGTGCTGCACAGAGGAAGTGCTCCATTGGACGCCCTTAAGGCACAACATCCACATGCAATATCTCCTTCTAGTCGCTTCAGCTGCAACTGCAGGCCAATGCAGCACAGTATACTGTAGTCTGAGAGTGGAATGTAGTGATATGTTCTAGCGGGCACTGTAGCGATGTGGTAGACAAGTATGTAGTGACCCGCGTAGACAGGCAAGTAGCGGTTTGCTTCAACAGGTGTGGAGAAATCCACTTGAAGTGCTCTGGACTGCAACACAATGAGTGGGAATACAGATAGCCCGGCTTAGAAGCTGGAAGGGCAAGCTCCTGCCCTGCTCTTCCATCAACTCAAAGCAAAACAAACAGCCATCCAAGAAGAGATCCTGTACGTCGCAGTATTGAATGCCAGTCTAGGCAGATTAACGCTCAAGCAGCATTTCACTGCATGCCGTTCAGACGCACCACTCCACCTGCCTAAACATGTAACAATATGCCCAGCTTAAAAAGTCACTATGTTCCAGCAATCTTCTGCAACCTATCAAGGTGACACTGCTGTAGCGGACTCAGCCAAGGGCTACGCACTTCCACTGTCTGCAACCAACGCACTACCATGGTAAAATATAGTAGTGAACAAATGAGTAAGCTGTCTGCACACTTGCAATTGAATATGCCAACAGACAGTTACTCGAGATGCATCAAAACTCTTTAGGTCGGCGCTTGGCCGCCAGTTGTTGTAGACCCATCTCACGCGAAAACAGTGGCTCGCACTGGTTCGAATGAATATGGATGTAATAATACTCACATAATATATATATTAATATATATATTTGTAGGTACTTATTACATATGTTTATATGATATTATGTATTCGCATGTTACAGTAGAGGAAACGTGGGAAGCTCTGCGTCAACTGGAAAATTGTGCGGTTGCCCCCCAAAAATCGAAGCGTCTCCTGAACCTTCTACCCACTTAAATCCCAATCAATCAACTCCTGAAAGCCAAATACCGTCGCTTGGAAACAAGTGACAGCATCTGTTGTATCTTCCACTCGACAGGGATAACGACGTCCCCCCCTACGGACTGCTGTGTTAATCGACTGAACCGACACTGGCGCCAAAAGGAGAGCGAAGTGCAGTAGGCAGTGTGCATATATATACATATATGTATACATATATACGTATATCTACATATATATACACTCATGTGTATGAACGCATTATAGTTCGTCTTTCTTGGTATCCGCCTTCTTAGTATCTTCTTTTGCATCCTTCCTGTCGACGAACTTGGGAACCTTCGCCTGGGGGACGATCTTAAAACGGGCGTCTCCGCTAGAAATCTTTTCCAGCATCTTCCGGATGTGGGGCTTTGTGGCCTGCATGCATGCAATCACCGACAAGAGTGCGTGAACGCATGCGATCTTGCAGGCTTATTCATCAGCAACATACACCCCTAAGTATGTCCCCACCACATGCCTGGTGTTACGGAAATCGAGAAGGGACGTGGAAATGCCCACTTCTACATCATTGAATTCCGGTTGACAGCCGCTGCAGTGCAACGATGTGACTCCGCGCACCGCCCTCTGGCTACGCATCTACTTTGTCTTGTGTTTCTATAGTTCACACGTGATGTGTTTTGCATATATACTAACTCATGTGACAGAGTTATTATTATATGGGCTTCATTCGAGTTTGTTTGTGTCTAAGATTTGCGTTGACTTACGGGGAGGTCACCATCAAGCTTGAGGAAACGAACTTTCTTGTGGGGATTGATAGCAACAACAGTGGGGGTCTTGGAGACATCGAAGAGTTCAGCCCATTCTTTCTCTGTTGCTAAGTCAATCCACATGAAACGGAAATCGGGGCCCTTGCCGTCGTGGCCTTCGTAGTCTTCTTTTAAAGACTCCATCATTTCCTGCTCTTCTGGAGTAAGCTCACGGCCCTTCTTCGCCAGCATCACACACACAAACTTGTTGCTCTTCTTGAAACACACGTCCTGGCTAGACTGCTTCGTCAACTCCGGAATCGCCTCCACCTTCCTGCAATACAAACACCAACATCGAGTTTGGAGATGAGATCCCAGCACAATCAGCAGCAACAACAGCAACGAAAGATCACTTCAGCTCAACCACGACGCTGTTCTCAGGCGACATACTACCCAAGTACCACTAATAATAACCATTCTCATAACCATTATAAACATTATTATTACGTACCAGGGCTGCAGTTCGGGGTCGAATTCTGCAGCAGGAGCAGTGTCTGAGAATCCACCCCCCATGACGAAGGTCTCCGAGAAGACATTAAGCCAGTCGAACAGCTTTTGAAATTCAAATGCTCCCTTATAAACTTCATCCTTCTTGTCCTTCCTCACCACTACCAAATGTGGAAAAGAAGATACTTTATACTTCTTCACTGCTTCTGGGAACGCAGTACTGTTCAACAGAACCAAGGCCAACTTGTCCTGAAGCAACCAAAATTGACCCGGCAATCTACAAAAAGTTTACACCGAGGGACATACAGTTCGCCAGTGCATCGTTCCTTATATATATACATATTCACGTATTCAGATGCCACGCGCATATAGACACATTTGAGCATCCTTGCATGAGGCGAAGACAGCGGGTAGGCTGACCTTGAAAGCGTTGCTGAGTGCTTTGACAAGGAGAGAAGGCTTCGTCAGTTTATCCGAGAAGAAGAGGGCCTTAGGCATCTGAACAGTTGAGGCAATCAGCGCGTCCAACTCCTTCTGGTTTGCCACTGACTTGACATTCGAAGGTATCAAAGGCCGAACTGCCTTTGACATATTCTCCACGTCTCTCGCCCCCTGAAGAAGCACAACACCACAAACTGGATGAATACACTTTGTTTCGGCCTGCTATAGGTACAATATATACTTTGCAGTTCGCATGTATGCCTTGTACACATGCACTTTTTATAGGGAGTTTACATAATGTGTGCAAATCATCACCACAACAACATGCATCTACACCATAAGTAAATAACCCCAGAGCATGTACATGTATGATGCATGATACGTCTACAGCAAAATTCGTACAATACCTCTACATCATGTATACACATCTATAAAATGCCTCTAATACGTGGAGGTTTGAGCCAAGCAGAATGTTCATTATGCATGCCATTATTTCTGACTACCACTACAACACACATGCATGCGTGCCAGTATATGTAATACCACTGCAGCATACGATGCAAAATACATGCACACATGTGTACGTAATATGCCTGCAAGTTATTATATGGATATACAGCATATCTACAATGCACACAATATGCACAGAATATCCACGACGTGAATACATGTATATGTAGATGCAGTTGCCTACAAACTAAGCTGCATCTAAGGAGATATACACAACGTATATGCATACACCTATACACCAACCCTGCACAATATATAAGTGATAGGTATAGATATATACTATATATTCGATTCCTCCAGTTCGGTTGGTTGCTCATCCACGGCGTAATACCAGTTCTACGCACACTGTGGCATATTCTCTACACGTCCATCCGTGACCAGAAGTTGCATCTATTCCGTTTACAGAATAAGCAAAATTGGCGAATTAGCTTATTAATGAGTTGCTTACTTGTAAGGGGAAGGGGGGAAGAGGGAACGGCGGAAAGATGATAATTTGGGGAAGTTGTGTTGCGTTGTTGTCTTTGCATAGTTTGGGGTTTTCATCGCAGTCTACCGCATAAACCTGAACGATGCCTTTCATTTTCTTGGCGAAACTGTCATATTCCCCATCAATGAGGGCCTTGCTTTCCTTGTCTGCAGGCCGGTAGAACAAGACTGAGAAAACTGAAGTGTCCCTGAACTTCAACACCTTGCCGCTCCATGTAGCCTGGGTAACCACCCCGATATCGTGCTTCATAGGATCAATCAAATTACGTGCCGCTGCAACGACAGCAGGCTGTTGCTGCAGGAGCAGCAGCACACTCCAAACACACAGCAGCAAAGAAGAGAGAAATCCGTGCTGCACGCGCCTCGGTGCGAGGCCGCTGCCGCCTTGAGGCTGTTTTAAACCCTTCATCTTTTTAAACCCGTTCAGCTCAACAAAAAGAAAAAAAGGGAACAACACCACCCCAGAATTAGAAATCCAAGCGTACGCACGCGACAGACATCGCCCTCCGAGCGCTGGCTGCCGCTGCTGCCGCCGCCGCTCTAGCAGCAGCAGTAGCCAACAACAGCAGCAGCTTATCTCCAATAGGTGCAGAAAACGAACCCCGCTGTGCAACTCAATGTTATATTCAATTAATTATTAGTAAAGGATAAAATAGGATAGAAAAATAGGCTACAACGGGTGTAAAGAATGCCATATTTTGGCGTCTTCATACCAAGTGCTTGCACCGAATAATCCCAGCCCCGTACGACTCCTAAACGTAACCCTTGTATGTGCTGGCCAGGGAGTACCCTATTCTCTACAATTTTCTCTCCCTTGCATTTAATCAATTATACTATTCGTTCTTTTAACTTATGTCACCTTAATACCTCTGCAATTGCCACGTGCATGCTCCGGGCTGCTACTGGGTAGCAAACTTGACACATGGCCTCATTAGCTCGGTTTGTCTACGGTTAATGCTATCCTTGTCTCTATTGCACATGTATGTTGGATACTGACAGTGGATTATGTGCTTTTCAGTTGTGTATTACAGTGTGATTGGCGCGCACAGCATCAGGGGATCGTTTTCGTGTTGCATGTGGGGTGGCTGTGGACTTGTAACTGCAACTGCAGAAAGAACTGTTTCAACTCGTGTGAGACAACATATGTTGCCTCTACAGTTTTAAATTAAGGGTTAAGTCTATAGGGTCGGTCCCAGGCCCTTTTTTGTGTGTATACACAGTAAAAGTAGCTTGTAGGCACGATTGCCTACTTAGAATTTGTTATTGCATAGATTACCCAAATTATTTGGCTTACTGCCGTTTAAAGGCAACGTTGTTCTACTAAGATCGAGGACTTCCAATACACCCCGCAGTACAGCACTGTTACGAGTAGCGAAAAGCGTTTCAGGAAATATGGTCTACTTCATCTCCTCTAGTTATCCCTCGAAATATGTTCCTTTTGACTCTTCAGTTCTTTATGAGGATGTCTTTGACAGAATACCTTCGCTAACTTCTAGGTATTCTTCTTGGTAGTGCATTTCCTGCTGTGGGGTCCTAGTTGCTTCTTCCTGTTCGTCTCACTTAGTTTCGCTCGTTTCCTTGTCTTCAAACCTTAGAAAACCAGCATAACCCTGTATGGTTGAATGCCTCTTTTTTGAGTTATGTTTGAGAAAAGCGACAGCAGCTGCTTGTCTGAACCAAGGCAACATTGTTGGTTTTGCCTGTTTCATTTCGAAGTGATGAAACATCTTGAAAAAATACTGGCGCGGGCAATCGGTTCTGTTATTAGTGGACATGTATTCTGTGTTGCTTATTACCTTTAATTATTTATATTTCACAGTTTTTTCATTGTCAGGACTGCTTAGCATTGGTACTTTTGTAGCTTGTAGGAATTCTCGTTGCCATGTCTCGGCAGGATGTGCTAAGGACGTTTTGTTGTGGCTGCAAGACGCTGACGTTGCTGGGCTCCCGCTGCTGTATCTGCAACTTGAGCGAAATTAATTTTAAAAAGCTTCATGGTAATTATAGGGAGGGGGAATACACATGAAAACGACGCCATATGCTGGTAGGAGCATCCCACTAACGACAAAAGAGCGGTCTAAAACAAACCGCTCAACAGCAGGGCGATGCGCAGGAAAGGTGCCTCTCCCTCCTCATCGTGGCCTGCAGACTAAACTGCAAAGGGTCGTCGCGTTGGTAGCAGGATGAAAGCTTCAAAAATCGCAGGAGGGGAGATTGCGTAGTTAGACTGTAGTATTGCGTAGAGGCTTGAGACTACAGCACGTACATAAAAGTAAATGGGCCCTCAATTCACCAACTGGCGTTTACACTGGAGGAAACAGTGTATAAGGCCCCACATTACTGTGCTGAACGCGAGGGAACCTGACAGACTAAAGCAAAATCGAAGCAACTCTAGTATTTTCTGTGTTCTCAGATATACATAGTCCGTAACAACCAAGAACGAAAAAAGACGAGACAATAGTGAGGAGGACACGACAAAAAAAGTAGGAATACGCAAAAGGTAAGAATACGCGGAACAACTGAACTCACAGTAAAACTACGGCAGTAATAGAGGCAATTAAACCCATAGTAAAAGTACAGCATTAATAAACGGGAAGGCAATGGGTCTGCCATTGCGTATTGTTATATTTATGAACATTGCTTTTGACATCCGATATCAATTATAGAGACAGTGAGACCACACCACAGCCACACACCTGAAACGCGACTCAGTCCATTAGTCCATCACTGTAAAAGATAAAACAGGGAGGGTTTGTTCTAATGGAGGCATTGAGAGTTATCTTCTCTCCGTTTTGTGTGTCCAATGCTAAAACGAATCGACGATGCATGAACACACAGGAAGGGGCAACAGAAGCAGCACAGGGTGAATAACGCCTTCCAAAACCAATTTCCGAGTTTCCAAAATTAATAAACATTAAGCCAATGCAGTAATGGGCTAATATGGCCTCAAAAAGGGAGGAAAAAGTAACTCCTGCGAGCCCTGGAACTACGGCCGCTATGTAACGGTTACATCGGTGCTTGCGACCAACAGAAGAAACAAGACAATAAAGCCGTCTCTAACCAATTGAAATCCCAACTAAATACACAAGTTTTAGAAAAGGTAACTATTATTAGAGGCATTTTCCGTATATTCATCATTGAATGCATTCCGCAGCAGTGCACTGACCCTGCCGCACTGCACAATGGTCACTCACACACTACCCGCAACCGCGGCTTGCTGGCTTTCTGCATTTGTGCTGCTGATGATACCGCAACTAACACACAAAACAAATATTTGTCTTCTTCTTCAATGTTTTAAACACTCACAATGCACCACAACGAATGTAAACCAATGCAACCACGCAAACTTGGCTGACGGAAGGACCTATTGACACCGCATATAGTATTGCCTTTCCACTCTCCAGCGAGGACGCCATAAGTTTCCGTTTGCATTTCTCTCTAGCTATTTGTTGAAAATGATCGTCGGGTGTCCAAAGGAAATTAAACCACAGGAGGGGAGGGTTGGGTTACTGCCTGCTGACGTTGCAGAACTTGTTCGATTTAAGCACACGGTCTTGATTCAAAAAAATGCAGGCCTTGCGGCAGGTGCAACAGACGAACAATATAGAGCAGTAGGAGCTCAGATTATTGAGCATGCTGAGGAAATATTCGCAAGATCCGATTTAATTGTCAAGGTAAACTACATCGATATGTATATTCATTCATTACATATAACATACGATATGTCATTCCATATCTGTTGCTTTCTCTGTCTCGGCTTTTTCTGTGCATTCTCCTAAAGCGACTAAGAATTCCTTGGACGCTTTTAGAGCCATTTTCCAGTTACTATTTTGATCTAAGCTTCTTTCCTTTTTTTCTCTTTGACATTACGAACTGGACCCAGCACACACACAGACACACACGCACAAACCCAGAAACACACGAAACAGATAGAAGCAGCACAGCAAAGGAAGAAATATCCATTTGGAACAAAGCAGCAGATGCATTGACTTGTTGTTTTTGAATTAAATTTATATATCTCATTTCATTGTGTCTTTTTCCTGTGTGTCTTTAGGTGAAGGAGCCCCTTCCTAGCGAGTTCGTGCATATTCGGTCTGGCCAGGTGGTGTTTACTTACTTTCATTTTGCCTCGAGTCGTCAGTTGACGGAGGCTATGCTGCAATGCGAGGCAGTATGCATAGCATACGAGGGAGTGGAGGATTCTGCAGGCCGTTTGCCGCTGTTAGAGCCTATGTCTGAAGTAGCAGGGCACATGGCCGTACAAGAAGGCATGCATTTCCTCTCAGCTCATAGTGGGGGTAAAGGTGTTCTGCTCGGGGGAGTCCCAGGGGTTTCTCACGGAAAAGTTGTTATCATAGGAGGAGGAGTCGTAGGACTGAGTGCTGCAAAAACCGCTGCAGGCATTGGAGCTTCTGTTGTTGTCTTAGATAAAAACCTCACAAGACTCAGGTGCATTGTAAGTATATATATATATATATATATATATATATATATATA